AGAATGGACTTCAACAGATTAGATAATTCCTAAGGGACATCTATAAGTTTAGCATTTTTAAATGTCATAGGAGAGATCACTCAACTTGAGTTGAATGAAAGTGATTACTTAGATTTTAGGTCTAAGAAATGTATCCAACATGTAGCTTTTGAGATACATGTTAAGGGATTCTCCTTAGCTTTGGAGCTAAGCAGAAAAAGAAGGAACTCAACATTTAACTTTTGGGCTAAATGTAGGAGAACTCCCTCTAGCTTTTGGAGCTAAAGAGAAGGGAAATCTCCTACAACTTTGGAGTTGGAGGAGAGTTGGGAGCCTATAGCTTTTGGGCTAGAATATGATATCTTCTAAGGCCTTTGGAACCTATAGAAATGAGGGAGATTAGTAGCTTTTGAGGCTACGAATCAAAAGGATGTCTCCTTGAATTTTTGTATTCAAGGAGTTGGGTTTCATTTGCTTAATTTGGATTAGTCAAATAAATGTGAGTCACTTATTGAATTTAGCTCAATATGTGAGAAAGATTTGTAACTTTGAGGATTACAAATCAAGAGGGATTATCATTGAACTTTTATGTTCAATAATGAGTATTTGATTTGCTAGATTTAGATTAAGCAAACACAAAAGTATGATGTATAGTTTTGGCCTACACATCAAGGATTCTTTGGACTTTCGGGTGTCCAAAGAGAGGAATTCATTCACCTAATTTAGGTTAGGAGAATGAAAGAAAAGCTAGGATTTTGACTCCCTTGCTTAACATGAAATTATTTATTGAGTTTGGTTCAACAAAGAAATGATTTTGGATTGAACTACTTGTTAATTTTATTCAACAAATAGATGACTTGGAAAAAGATTGATTCGCTCTCAACATGAGTTGAGAGAATGAAACTTTCGTACAACTTTTGAGTTGTAGAAAGGAGAAGAGAAGATGCAACTTTGGGTTGCAAGCTTCTAAAACCTCTTTGAACATTTGGAGTTCAAAGAGGGGAATTCATTCTCCCAACTTGGGTTTGAGAGCATGAAGATGGATTTGGAAGCTCTCCTACAATCTTGACTTGCAGGAAAGAGTGAAGGAAATGCAACTTAGACGGTGCAAATCAATGAAAGTTCTTTGAGCATTTGTTGTACAAAGAGGGAAATGCACTCTCCTAGCTTGGGTTTAGGAGAGTGAGAGAATTTCCTACAACTTTTGAGTTGTAGAAATAAGTGAAGGAAACACCTTAGGGCTTTGAAAAGGTTTCCTAAACCAACTTTAACATGATTAGGAAACTCGAATGGGAGAAGCTCACTTGCTACTTTCATATCATAACAAAGAAAGGGTTGGACTTAGGATTTGATCCTAAAGACTTGGAGATTCATGTAATAGAACATTTGAAGCCTTATAGGGACTCCAAAATACTTCATATGAAGGGAAAAGAGTGCTTGGAAGCAAGCTCTTTATACTTGTTGGAACTCATGCAACATAGAGCTTAGAACTTTGAGGAAATTCTAAGCTTCAGACTTGGAAGTAGATGTGCATGAGAAAGAGAATTCCCCTACGTCTTTTAGAGTGTTTTGGACTCAAATAGGAGAGGGAAGAATTGATTTCCTAAGGTTTTAGGAGACGTTTCTAAACCAATTTTAGTATGATTTAGAAACTTGGATAGGAAAGGTCGATCCTTATGATTTCTAGGAAAAGTAAGATCAATTTGGTATGATCTAAGAAGAACCTAGGAGTGCATGCATCATGTGTAGATGACTCTCCAAATTAGAGAATTTGATAATTGAAAGCAATCAAGTATTTGATTTTGCACAAAGTTGTACATGAACTTAATCAACAATACATTTTGTGGGATCTACAACATAGACTTTGAAAAGTCTATAGGAGACCTCACAATGATTTGATTTTCAATGGTTGATTAAATCCACATCCAAACATTCACAAAAAGCTTTCTAGAGTTCACAAACTTCCACATACGCACACTTCTTGCAACTCGTTAGTCACTTTTGCCATGACTTGTACTTGAAAGAAGTGTCCGTACCATTTGGATGGGTTTCAAGTTTATGAGCGTTTTCACATACTTAGATTGCTTCAACAAACAATCAATTCAAGATTGTCACTCCACACTCTAAGTTTCATGTGATGCAAAACATAAATCTAATTGATCATTAATGTAGTGAGGTTTACTACATAGACCCTTTAAAGTCTATGTCTCATAATGACTAGAAAGTCCAAACCAATTAGATTTAATTCATACATTAAACAAAACTCTAGAGATTATCAATTTTAATGAATACAAACTCTCCTAAATTTGGGTGTCAAATTTTGTCATGACAATGTATTTAAATGAGATGTGCATGCAACTAATTACAATCCAAACCTATGCATCACCATTGATTTTGAGATCAAATGATGGCCTCTACCCTAAGGCATGATTGTAGGCGACGGATTGGACACAACATGAATGTTATTACATGCATTTGAGAGCGTTGGATACCAATCCAACAACCCTACGCGCATCGTCATTTCCTTTTGGTTCTCACATGAGGGCAACTTGGCAAAAATCACCGGATTTCCCCAAGTTTACAAAGAGGACAGCGATCATAGGATTTCGGGGAAGCATAAATTTAAGTTTCTAAGGGACCTATGGCTTGGGGACGTCATCCACACATCAATGGCCTTGGGGGATCCTAGGTTTCACTAAGTTTTAGGATTTTACCTCACCCGGGTTGTCCTAGCGCTCCAAATTGATGTCCAAGCCGCTGTCCAAGCTCCTAGGTTGCTGTCCAAATGCTCCAAACAGCAGTTTGAACTGTTTTGAGGTTGTCGGAGAAGGTTTGGAAGGAAATAGAGGCTTCCTACCCTCTCTTGGCTGCAGCAAAGGCTGATTTCAGCATGCCTTTGCCCTAGATTTTGGAGCAGAAGCTTACCAAAAGCAGCAAGAGGGAATTTTTGCTCTCCAATTGAAAGGAGAAAACAATGGCAGCAAGAGAGAACCCTTTTCAGTCCAAAGAAAGGGAAGACGGCAGTTGGCCGGCACTCCCTCTTGGCTAAGACGCACGCATGAGGCCGCAAGACTCCCTCTTTCTCTCGGTTTTGATCGGGATGGATGGAAGAGCTCCCGCCGACCTCTCCTCCTTCCGCGCCTGGGGACGGATGCAAAAGGGGGCGGAATCCCCTCTCCCTCTCTTCTGTGCTCTCCCTTCTCTGGTTCGGGACAGAACAAAAAACGGGGGAGCCGAATGCTCCCCCTTTCTCCTTTCGTGCCCTTAAAGGAGCACGTCCAGCCAAAGAAATGCCGCCCAAGTGAACCAATCCGGCCTCTCGTGCGTGTACCGAAGGATTTAGGGCAGAATTCAAGATAAAATCTGAGCCATTGATCTCAATTTCTGATTTGAGAATCAAATTTAGCCCAAATTGACAAATTAGGGATGAAATTGAGTCTGAATTGGACTCGACCCGAACCAATTTGGGTCGGTTTGAGTCCGATTGGGTTCAATCAATTTAATTTCATGAAATTGAACTCGAATCGGTGTCGAATCACGTCGAATTGGGTTCGACGACGCTCGACAGAGTTTGAATTGATTTGATTTTAATTAAATTAAATTGGGTTTAATTTAATTAAATTTGAGTTTAATTTGAGTTGATTTTGTCTCGACGACGATCGATTGGGTCAATTGAGCACAATCAAGCATGGTCGGGCTCAATCGAGGTCGAGTCGATACGAAAATATTCGTCAGCAGGGAGGAGGTAACAAAAGGTATTGAGACAAACAACAACAAGTTTTTATCCTAGTAAGTGGGGTTGGCAATATGAATAATTTTTCTCTAGTGTTATATTATGAGTCAAATTCTCATTAAAATCCTTCATAAGAAGTCAAGGGACCATTTTGATCATTTTTCTTTTTATTTTAAGATACCCATATCCAATTTAGGATTAGTAAATCATGTTGTTTCAATTTTTCTAATATTTTTATTATGACTTTAAAATTATTTATCTTTAGAGCTTTAATGCTCACTATATATTATTAAGATTGTTGTTTCAATAATGGAAAAGATAAGATTGATACTAAGTGAAAATTATTGTACGTTTTGATGTATAGTTTTAGTGCAAGTATAAAACCATTAAGATATATATATATATAAATCTTACTTTCATCACTCTCTTTGAAATCACAATTGTATTTCCCAATGTTAACTCATAATGACTCAAAATCTGAGGTTGTTAATGATTCAAGGTTTGTCTAATCTCAAGATTTTAACATAAGTTTACTTTCTTTAGTGGCTAAAAATATCTTAGCTTCTTCAAGAGGCATAAATCAAATAAAAGTATTTCTTCATTCCCTCAGGCTTAGTAGATTTCGAGCTTTTGAGCTAAACGCAATATGTTTTCTTATTACTTTGGCATTCTTGACATAGCAAGAGTTAACTCTGCATTTGGATGGGCATTATTCCTTAAGCTTATGTTAACTTAATACAATGTAGTTTAGTTGTTTGCATTTGTTTTGGTAAGTTCTTTGTAGCTGCTATTTTATGTAACATTTTCATGATGGTAATAAAATCTAGTAAAATTAATAAAACTATACAATCAAATTTAAGTTTGGCTATGACTCTCTTGCTATTTTTCAGAACTTTTATAGTGAGAAAGAGTTTCATAGAAGATCTACTATTTGGTAGTTGTAACAAAATTGTTGTCCAACATTTTCTAAAGAGAGAAAAATCTAACACCCACAACTTTCAAAACTCTTTCCTAAAAAAATTCTACAACTAATTTAACAAATGCAACCGACCCAACTCTAACAGGCAATTTATGTATAGTTTAAATCAATAATCTCTGCATTACATCAGAGCATCCACCTTCTGCTTATCTAAATAGAACAAAGATTTGCAAGGGGAGAAGGCGCGTAAATTGACAGAAAACATGGAGATTATATGACAAATTAAAAGACAAACTGATCATAATCTGCCTACGGAATCAACATCACGTGAGTAGCATGGCACATACGACAATAACAAAAAAAGGTTACCTGGCCAGAATTAACGGTTATATTTAAACGTTCTTCCACAGCATTATCAATTCCAACGATCTTCATGCCTTGGGAGACACTAGGTAATTTTGAAGAATTATCATCATGTGGAATAGGATCCCTTCCCACACCAACTGGCAATAAATACTTGCATAGACATTGGTCACCTGACTGCAATTTTCAAAAAGAAAAAGTTCTAACATTATATAAATAAGAAACTATGATGCCTGATTAAAATAACTCTTTTGACACGTGAAACTACAACCAAAAAAACAATCAATAAAAAATTAATGTTGTTGCATTCACGGAATGTTATTATCAGTTCAGTAAAACAGTATATAATCAATCAAACACTGAAGCCTACATCAAAGTCAAGCACCTAGACATCATAATTATACACAAGGTCATTACCCTCACTATTTAAGCATAAATCCTTTCAAAACAATTAAGCAGTGGCATCGTGCTACTTTAACCAGCATATATCACAATGATGGCTGAAATAATGCAAACCCATATGTAGACAATCCTTTGTCCGCAAGCTACCATATGGCCACAATTAACCAGATATGTCTACTCAGATAATCCAGGGAGGGCATTTTTATGCACTTTTGACATTGTCATCTGCATCCACCATCCATCTAGACCGAAAAAGCCCTTCACAAGGTTTTATTGTGGTCAACTTCCTTAATAGCATAATTTCTGAATTAAGCTGGTGGTTCAACACAAATCCTACATTATTTCTGTACCATACAACCGAAATATCCTACTAGCACATTTCAAAAGATATTTTGAATACAACCTATTTTACGGATGGTACAACAACTCTTCCAAAATAAAATAAGGAGGTGGAATTTAAATAATGCAAAATTATCAATAGTTCAAGATAGGTTACTAAGACAGGAAAATTGAAATTTTTTAGTTGAGCTAAATTTAATGAAGTATGAGAAGTCAAACTTCCTCTAGAAGATCTCTGCAGTAATTTTGGAAGAGTTTAGAAACAAATAGCATATTGATAAGAAATATGATGGCCTAGTGAAAAAGCATAAAAGATTATTAAGTAAAATACATATATATGAAAAAATGCAGTAAAAATTAAATCCTATTGAGACTTATAATGCTTATAAAAGAATTAGATATATTACAAAACGATTAGCGAGCTAAAAAAAATTTGCAGCTTCTAATAACTTATATAATAAGCTTGATACAAAAGATGAAGAGAAGATCTAGAACTGAATATATGGAGTGTAATTTTAGTAGCAATAGACATAGTGAGGGGATTGTGACTTTGGGCGATCAAGTCATTAATAAGAGTACACGTTTTAGATATCTTGGATCTATTGTTCAGAGTGATGATGAAATAGATGGGGATATTATTAGCAGAATTCAAGTTGGATGGTTGAAGTCGAGGAATGCATCGGGCTTGTTGTGCGATAAAAAAGTCCCCCTCAAACTTAAGGGAAAATTCTATAAGATGGTGGTGAGACCTGCAATGCTTTATGGTGTCGAATGTTGGCCATTAAAAGAGAAGCATAATACTAAGTTAAGTGTTGCAGAGATTAGGATGCTTAGGTGGATGAGCGGTTTTACCTCGGAGATAGGATACAAAATGAGCATATACGTGAAAAGGTTAGAGTAGCTTCAGTGGAAGATAAGATTAGAGAGAGTCGCCTTAGATGGTTTGGTCACATTAAACGGAGGCCTTCCAATGACCCGGTTAGGAAAGTAGAGGTATTAGATTTGAATTATGAGGTATTAAATTTGACTTATGTTAAGAAATGTAGAGGTAGACCCAAAAAGACTTGGTTAGAAAAAATTAGAAAATATATTTTTTTTTATTAGATTTAAATGAGAATTTGGCTTTTAACAAGACACGATTGCGAAAAAGGATTCATGTAGCCGACCCCACGTAGTGGTACAAAGGCTTGATGATGTTGATGTTGCTGTATACTAAACATGAAGAGAAGAAATCACTCGGAAAAAAACTAACAACATAATTTGAGATCAAAGAACTTGACAAGCTTAAATACTTCCTTCGCATAGAAAAGGCTTAGTCAAAAAAAAAAATTATTTATAGCTTGACAAACCATATGAAATTATAATAACATAACCAAGCTAGAAACTTGACAATGATGAAGGAATAAAAGTCGACAAAGGATGATACAAGGATTGGTTGGAAAACATATCTACATATCTCAATCTTGTCTAGATATTGCTTTTGTGATAAGCCTCATAAGCCAATTTAAGCAAGATCGATGATCACTAGTGGATAGAAGATCTACTCCATACTACTACCTATTACCTGATTGAAATTTTATAACATGGATAAGTAAGAAAACAACAGGTGATTTCAAGGGAAAAGCAAATAAGAGTAGAGAGATTGCTCAAGATATATATGAACTTTTTTGGTTAAAAATAATACTAAAAGATTTGAAGATTAAATGGGAAGGGTCTATAAGTATGTATTATTATAATAACTATAAGATTAGCGCGGCCCACAATCCAATACAAAATGACCAAACAAAACACATGGGAAGATAGGCATTTCATAAAATAAAATAAAATAAATAAATAAATAACCGGAGATTGAGTTGAATTGGACCACTTTTATCAAAACAAGATGTTAACTTGCTGATATATTCACCCAAAAGACTTTGTAATTTTATATTTAAAAATATTCTAGACAAACTGGGAATGATAGATTTCTACCAACCAATTTGAGGGGGATTTTTGAATAATTCAGGAAAGTGGTAGAATTACTGTGGCCATTGGCAAAGCAAAAAAGATTTGGCAGCATTCATGTAATATCTTGAATCTAGTGATCGATAATGTGAAGAATATGAAGAAGACAAAGCGAAAGGAACATGCTTTTGTTACCTGGAGCCGCGGGGATACAAAGAGGACGAAGAAGGTGAAGGAGTCGAAGCAATCGTCTGACGAATACAAAGCAAATGCGTTGCTTTGTGTAGCTTGGAAGCCAAAGGAGTCAAGGAAGTCGAAGGAGATGAGGAAGATGAGGAAGACACTCAAGGTTGTTTTAATCATGTCGTATCACGGAACCTGAACGGTACATATCTCAAGAAGCAGAAGATGTAGAGCTCGCTCCCGTCCTTTGGTGTAGTGGAAGCCGAAGGGTTCGGATCGCTAGCTACGTCTCTATAAATTAGAGAAGAGAGGAAGGAGAGAGAGAGAGAGAGAGAGAGAGAGCTTGAGCGTCGATCAGGCGAACAACCAAGAGAGATAGAGCGGGCGTTCATGCGTGCAAATGGCTTTGGCAAGCAAGAGTTGTGTGTGAAGGGAAGAAGATAGGGAATTTTGTTTAAGTATTATTAAATTTTAAATTATAAATTAAGAGAGTTAATTTAGAAAATACATGTGAAAAGAAAGGTTAATTTTTTTTTAGAAAATTTTAAGTTAAATTTATAGAGATAATTATAATCTTGAAGACTTTATTAGGATTAATTATTTACGCTATGATTGTATAATTTATAATCTAATTTTTTTAGAATAATGAGTAAAAATTTTAAAATATAAGTTATGAGATATAAAGAGTATTTAGATTTATTTGTAAATGACTAATGCAATGATAATTCTTAAAATTGTATCATATAATTAAAACATATTAAGTTAATGTTTAAAAATTTTAAATGTTATGCTCACAAAAATAGAAATTAAATATGATGCTAGCTAATTGTAAAATTAGGATAATTAGATTTTTGACAAATTATTTAAAATATTTAATGATATAGACATGCATATATGACTAAAAATTCATATAAATTTAGATGTATGTATGTATTTATATTGAAAAATAGTAATAATTATATTATTTTTTAACCATTTTAAATTATAGAGGGGAGAATTAAAATTATCATTAATTAAATTCTTTTAAGAATAGATTAAATATAAGAGCTATTTAAGCATATTCAATAGCGACTTAGAGAAAGATATTTATATTTATAATATAATACAATTAAATTAGGAGGAAATTTAAAACATTAAAAATAAAGAATAATTGAGTTAAAGAAATTAAGAGCAATATATTATTTAAATTTTAACAACAAGGTTTTTATATAGGTGTTAAGTTGGCATAAGCGAAATAATAATTAAGGTGGATTGTTAAGGCATGCAACTTTGAGGTGAGTACTCATGTTTCTTTATTTCCAGTGATAACTTTGTTTTCTCTTCAATAAAAAGTTTTGAAAGATAATGTATTCTTATGAAATCTTTATGATTAACTAGATCATGATTTATGTTTCTCATACTTAATGATTGATCATGTTGAGTTAAAGAAAATTTATATGTTATTTTGTATATTATCATATAAAGCTCATCAATGATATAAGAATGAAATGACTAGATAGATATGATTTCATGTGCATGTTAACTAATGGAGCACACCCCTTATAATACTAGCTGGGGACGCAATGTACTCATGTATGTAAATGAAAATGATTATGAAAAAGGAAAAGAAAATGGAAAAAGAATACTTTCATTGGTACTAGTTTAGACGGTGGCTCTTGTGACAGTTGTATTACTAAGAACGGATAAAGATACGATATATTTAACAAATACGATATATGCATAATATAAAATTAGCACATTTTGGATATGAAATAATTAAATAGAATTATGTTATGTTTTGAATGTTCATGCATATGATTCGTAATACCTTGGATTACTGTAATTTTAGAAACATGATTTACTCATTGAGTTCTGTTATGACTCATTCTTCATGTTAGAAAATATTTATAGGGATAACACCATTAACTAAAATGAGTAGAAGAAATGAGAACGTATACCGTAGGCAAAGCCCTCCAATTGAAAGGTATTTATGTAATTTTTTAAACTTTGAGGTTTTAGTAGCTCTTTAAATTTATTAAGATAATTTTAGATTGGTAGTAATAGTATTAACCGTCCGGCCGTCCGGCTCCGCCTCGTTAGTTCAAGTATTCGGGCCGGGTCGTGACAATTCAAGTTTCAACAAATTCATCCAACATAAAAGAAAAAGAAAGGCCAAGGATTCAAGGGCTAGCCGATAGCTATCGACAATTCCAACAGAGTGGATACGGAAGGAAATATAAAGCACATGGATTCAGGAAGAAGGAAAGCTGCTATCCACATTCCAGCAGTGGACATCAATAGAATGATTATCTTAAATTTAAAACTATTTTTAACAATCAATCGCCTTGAAATTGTACATATTTCTACTTCTTAAAAATTTAAAGTTTTCAGCCATCTCTCTATTTTACATGTCTAAATATATCAGTGACGGAAACCTGCCACAAATAAAGATACCGTAGTTTTAAAATGATCAGGCCTTGATTAATGTTGCACAACAAAATGAACAATGTTTTAATTTAAAGTGGATTTCATTAGACGTAGTAACGAATGGGTGTTAAAACATACATAGAGAAGAAGACAACTTTCACAGTCCAACACGATTATGTCCATGAAGGATAGGCGTGCCAATTTGACCCTGCAATGAAATGTATTGAAAGTACATCAATATAAATAGAAACTACCGCACAAACAAAATAATAATAATAATCACCACCTAGGGCGTGTCACAGAAACTGGAGCAGCAGAAATTGCAGGGATACTCCAGATCATGAGAGGCCTCACATCAATAGAAACTCCATCACCTCCATCATCAACTTGGAGCCTCACAGCAAGTAGTTTTTGTTCTTGCAGCAGAAAACATATAATAGGAACCCCATCACTATCAGTAGCAAGGAACACCTAGAAAAACACAAATAAGAAAACAAAGTCGATATCTATGTCTGATTTAATTTTTGCACAATAGTTGTATTCAATATCATAAACTTTCTAGCCTTTCACTTTTTTCTCCAAGTTTCAAAATGATATTTATCAAAATTTAAATATAAAAATTTTCAATTCAACCAGATTATAACGATTTTATTGAAAATACTTTTACAAACTGTTTGTTTTTTTCAGAAATTCTTAATGACAGGGATGCTAAATATTTTCGAAAGTAAAAATCACCTGAAAGTAGCTCAACTATTACATCGATTTGAATTGATTATTAGTCAATCTCGAGCAACAAAAATGACTCAAAGTTGAATTCAAAATATTTTAAAATTTGAGATTTCCAAATAATTTCAAATTTGGCTCGACAAATTCAAATATAGTTCAAGTTAAAATTTGAAATTAAATTTGTCTATCCATAATGAAGTATGTTATAAATATAACCTATGAATGAATAATATATGCACATATATGCAGCTGCAAACATGTGTGTTTTTTTACAATATGTAAAAAATTAAATTTGGAGTCGAATCACTCTAATGATTTTGAGTCAAGCCTGCTCTAGCCAAATCAATTTCAATTTCATCTGAAGAGCAGAGATGGGATCAAATTTTTTATTTCGTGTCTGAAAGAGTATTTTTGGCTCTAAGATTCCAATGGATACGAGTCAAAAAATAAATTAATTAAAAATATGTAAATAATATAAACAATAGTATTACAATTAAAGAAAACTATATAAACTTCAATAAGTACATAGAATTAAGCACACACATAAGCTCATGCGTAACATCCCATTTGTATTTTCAGCTTCAGATATATATGATCAACCAAAAATGATCCCACTTTGAGTCTTCTTACAATACTTGACTGAGAGATTGACTAATAAATTATAAATGCAGCAACATAAATGGTAGTAAACTAATATATGGTTTCTTTTTAAGACAAAAGCAACCCAAACTATTGAACTTGAGCTTGTTGACACAAACACTTCGACAATTTTTGAGCTCATAGACGTAAGAGTTTTAGCTGGCCGACCATGCTTCCTACTATCAAACTTACGGTGCTTCTCTTTACTATCGTTAAAATGATCATGATAGAAGCTACTTCTCTTTGCCAATAACAAATAATTGTAAGGTTGCTTTTGACTTTAATGGGCTCTTACGGGCACCACAAATAAGCATGACTTTTAGGAGCAACACAATGCAAATCAGTGCTTCCTAACTTTGCACAAGTTTGAAGCTGAGAAAAAACCTACAGAATTGTTCCTATGGGATGTATCTTACACTTTGCATTATCTGCATAGAGATGGAAATATAATTTAATTCTGTTTTTAATCTTTCCATGTCATACCCATCCTGCGCTATATCTATGTGATTGCCTACTTGACTCTCTAGATTGTTCTCATATGTGATTACATAAGATCAAGAAAGAATGTTTATGCGAGTTTGCTCATCCACCTTGTCACCCTATTCCTGTACCATTTCATCAAGAACCCGACACAATATAGAGACGAAGATGGGAAATAACTGGCAAAAGTCTAACATGGCACGTTGTGGACATGTCATTATATTTTATAAATAATTAATATGGAATCTACAATTTATAACATTTTCTATTAAAGGTATCACAAGATGAAGTATATTTAATCCATTTAAAGTTTCAATTATCACATATATTTCATAAAAGAAATATTATAATGATAAGATAATATAAACATTATTAATATTAAAATACTTTATCACATAAGCATTTATGAATCCATTTCAATTGTCACATATTCTTCTTTCAAAATATCAAAAAAATCTCTAAAAAAATAAATACGAATGCCCTTTTCAAATTAATTGGAGTTTACAAAATCCACGCTATGATCATCATTAGTCCTAGCACTCGTGCCCACTACACAACTGAAGTTATAGAAAATGACGTTTTAAATCACTATCATTTACTTTATTAGTCAACATAAAGCAATACTGTCCATAACAAAAATAAGCGATGAATTGTCCCAACAGATGTAAATAATGAAAACAATAAGTTTAAGAATTATCAATTTTTCTTACACTACAGAAATCTACATATTTAAGACTTATAAATTCAAAACCAAGTTATTATGAAAGATATAAACTCAAAACTATCTAAGTTTTGAAATATGAAAAAAAAAAAAAATAATGTTATTGCCATTATAATTTAAAAAATAATAATAATGTACAATTTTAAAATTGAAAACAAATAATATACATGTTTAAAAAGTCGGACATGTGGAATTAATAATGCAGATGTTAAAATTTTGAAACATCTAAAGTAAATCATTAAGGGTATACAAAAAGCTAAGGAATCACAAATTACAATCAAGACGAGCCAGGTGAGGCTAGATGAACCAAACAAGGCATGCATTAATGTTAAATTTGCCGTTCCTTGGCCCTTAATCCCATGACCAGCATAGGGATCCGTGAGAGACTCACCTGAATCACGCTGTCAAATCTCAGTCGTCACTAGGCCCTTGATCCCACGGCCAGCATGGGGATCGATGGGAAGCTCACCTGGATCATGTCGATCTCCTTTTATATTTGGGTGGCTGGTTTAGGAAGGATTATATTAAGGCAATTAAGCATGATTACGTAGTTATTTGTTTATTTATTAAGACATCTTGTATAGATCTATAAATAAGAATAGTTTTGCATAATAAAATTAAGCTTTTTCCTTCTCCAATTCTCTAAATTTAACATGGTATCAGAGCCAAATTCCCACCACCAGCCTTCATCGTCAGAATTCTGAGGAATACTCGTCCTTCCATCGGCCTTCATTGCTGGAATCACTAGGATATATACGAATCGAAGGAAGCGAAGACGAGCAAGAGGCCTTCATTGCCGTTGGAGATCAAAAGAGAGTCAAACGGTCCAAACCGCTCGTGCCCTATGTTTTGTGGCTACGGCCAAAAGAAGCGGAGATAGGAGTCTAATGTGCGTCCAAAACCGAGGAGAGATCAAGCAGGAGGGAACCTCTTGCGAGTGTCTAGGGAGGAACCGAGCAAAATCCTCTTCTCGCGTACATGCGACTGCACGAGATGAGAAATGGTGTGTCTAGACATAAGCCACAACCTCCTAGAAACGACAGCATCGGGCTCGATCTTTGTTCTTGCATGCGATGTCTAAAGTCAACCGAGTAGAAGATAGAGAAGTTGAGCGTAAGACCTCCTCCTGAGTGCATCTGGATAGCAGTCAGGACCTCTTCCAAGGAACTTCGACATCAGGGTCAGTCTTTATCCATGTGTGCGATCAAGAGAGGAGTGGCGTTCCTCTTGGTCGTCTTCTATGTGTGTCTGTTCCTAGAAGTCGAGCAAAGAGGAGCAAACGGGAACCCTCATAAAAGTAAAGGAGGCCAAGCCTCTATGTGTGTTCTTACCTATGCAAAAGCAGAAGTGAGCACTAGGAGTCGTGCAAGAGTTTTTCTACGTGCGTACCTGGGAAAAGCCAAACACTTGGATCGGTGGTTTTGTGCAAGCCTGCAAGGGACCGAGAGCTTGGAGCCCTTATTGTCATACATGCGGCCTCTCTCGTGCACAACTATGCAAATGTTACATGATGATTTAATGATGGAGAATGGGGTCAAAGACATCAGGAATAAGCCGGCGTCTCCTCCATCCGATTTACAACAACTTCTGCTACTTCTTGATAAAGCTGAGAATTTATTTTCAAGAATGGAATTATCTCCATCTATTTTAATGTTGGTTGTTGTTCAGCCTGCTATGAAGGCATTGATTGCCAAGGATCTTTTGGGGCACTCAAACATTAATGTGAAGGTTTCCATTGCATGTTTTCTAAATGATATAATAAGATAACAGCACCAGATGCTCCATGTGATGATATAAGGAGATATTTGGGCTGATAATCGGAGCTTTCAAGAGTTTCAATGAGATGGCAAGCAGTTCATTTTCAAAGAGAGTTTCAATACTTGAAATTGTTGAAGGTCCGATCCTATGTTTTGATGTTAGATTTTGAATGTGATGATTTGATATTGGAAATGTTTCAGCATTTCCTGAAGACAATAAGGTGAAAGCATTCTAATATTTTCTTCTTCTCAATGGAAACTATCATACACTTGTTTCGAATGAGACTGAAAGTATTTCTACATAGTTTCTTTCATGTATGTTAGATGGTATAAAAGGTGTTGAAAAGAATATTTTGCACATAACCAAGAAGCTAGCTGAAAAAGCGCTTGTTAATTGTTCCTTGAAGCTAAAACCTTATTTGGCTAAATTATTTAATTGCAATGGTGCTCTGTTAAGTAATTACAGCAAAATTGTTTTTGATGTATTTCAGGGGAAACCTGACACTTCGATACAAAATGAATTAAATGCTTTTGGTGAAAATCAAGAAGATGACAATAAATTAACTGAGCGGTTCCTTTTTTACGACTCGCCTTAGGGATATGCACAACAGGAAGCTGAAATTTTTCTTCCTGAAAAATATGTTGTTGCTGCAGACGAATCTTCCAAATAGGTGACGAATAATGGATCTTTTCATAATGGGAATAGTGATTCCATGGTTGCAAAGCAAAAGGCTAAATTTCATCATCATAGTGGTAAATTTAGAGTTAATATTGAACATAGCTTGGATTCAAGTACAGTAAAGCTTGGTAGAATGTTAGATCTAAGTTGAATGTTGACCATAAATTATCTAAGCGGATCCTTTGTGACAACTCGCCTCAGAGATCTGCACAACAGAAAGGTGAAATTTTTCATATTGAAAAATCCGTTGTTGCTACAGACATATCTTCCAAATTGGTGATAAATAATGAAATATTTTAGAATGGGAATAGTGATTCCACAGCTGCAAAGTAAAAGGCCGAATTAAACCATCATAGCGGTAAATCAAGAGTTACTACTGAACATAACTTGGATTTAGGTAAAATAAAGTCTGATAGAAGATCATACCTAAGTTCTCGTAAAGGAAGAAATGCTTCATTGCAATTGTCAA